TCCAGCAATACCCCCAGCGAGCAGGCAAACGCAGGTAGCTGGCTTTCAACTCCCCCCTGGAGAACAGAGCTGGGTGGCAGCGCACCTGCTCGTAACGCAGCCCAGGCAGAGCTGTGGTCTGTCTCGAGAAATGACACAGTACACACACTGCAGCAGAAGTTTCATTAATTACAGTGACTGTGGGGGAAAAAGGTATTAAAAAAGCGGAGATAAACTTCCTGAAAACAGCCCTTACATTCACAGGCTACAGAAAGTGCAGTGTCAATACCTCCTTGGCCCGAAAACAGGGGAGGGAAGGGCTGCTTCCTTCCCTGGGACTAACCACCAAAAGCACCTACTCCAGCAAATCACTTCTCTACATTTGTCAGCTCCAACCACGCGTTTCACTCGTATCCGGTCCCGAGCTCTTGCACGTCGCTGCTCTGCACTTGCTACTTCCCCACTGCCATCCAGAAGTGCCTTTATTAGTGCGGGATGTGACACTTGGACAGAGTTTTGCAGACTCTCAGGACACAGGCTACAGAAGCAGGAGCGCTGGGAAAGCAGCATGCCTCCCCCAGAAGCAGCCTGGAAGCAGAAGACAAAGGAGTGAATCAGCATGTGAAGCCAGCAAAGCTGGGAGGGATTTCTGGGAAGAGTGCAACTCTGAGAGGCTTCCTTCGAAATGGCACTAGAAGAGCGCAATTTCCAACTCTCCAAATACTCTGACAGCTCTCTCCCATTTCTGCTCTCCTCCCACCAGCGATTTCAGGTACGATGCCTTATTCTTCCCCTCATCGTGGGCAAAATTCATCAGAGGAGGAGGGCATGTTTGTCTTGATTAACAAAGTGCCTTCTGTGACGACAAGTTAAACACAAGGGTAGGAAGGCACCGCCTTGCTTTGTGGTGGAACTAAAACGAGAAGAGCAGCCTTCATGCTAAAGTTCAAACTTCACGCAGACAGCCTTCCCTTTAACTTGCGGTTCTCCTTCCTTTCGTGGCAAAACCAGCCTTTCTCTCCCCACGTTTCAGCACAGATCGAATCAACAAGCAGCTGATGTACAGGAGAGACACGAGTGTTTTGTGGGATTCTCACTGGGACACAACTGCTCCGCAGCACAGCCCTTCAGTGGCACCCCCAGGGCAAAGCATCCCCCATGGCACTGCCCTGGCTGCACAGAGCCTTCCCGTGCTGACTGCCCCACGCGCCATTTCACACATCACTAGCAGCCCTCAGAGGGCACCAAAGGGTTAATCAAAAACCGATGAAAGGGACAAGTGCAAGGAAGGAGAAATTAGAACACACAAAAGACAACCCTGCCCCTCAATCCTCCTCCTACAAAGGCTGCTAAGGGGATGGCCTTTTTCCTTCCAGAAACACGAATCTTGAAATAAATGTCCTCAATCCAGTAAAACATTGGCCACCTCCAGTCCCACCTAGCAGCCAATGCTCCTTCACTGACACGTTCAGACCTTATCTCACCCAAGGAAGGAAAATATTCTCAGTCTGACCTAATTAGCACAAGGCAAAATTCCAGCAAGGCCACGGCAGTTTGCAGCTACCGCAGTGTGGGTAAACGCGAAGGCACGATCAGATACGTTCCTGCAACCACGTCGGTATTAAGATGCCACCTTCCAGTCTACACAGCTACTATCCATGAGGATTCATCCATACATTTCAGCACAAAGTGAAGGTGGTTTAATTCATAGCAACTACGGAAAGGCAGAAGCGACAGCAAAAACCAAACACAGACACTCAGCTGTTTTCGCGTAACATCTGAAGATATTTACATTCTGTTTTCCTAAGATACGCTATTTTTGTAGCTTTTTCCCCATCCTCTTTTGAGAACTTCATGGTAATACAATAAGTACGGTTCTCAAGCACAGTAGTTTGCAATAAATTTTTCAGTAACTTGCAGGACTTCTTGTACTCAGGTGCTTCCTGCCCCTGGCCAAGGCTGCTGCCCGAGCTGTGCCGCACAGGAGAACACGCTTCTTATCACTCACTCCTGGGTGTAACGCTCGTTGAGAGTGTATTTCCAAGGCGAAAAAACAATTGCATCCACTATATTTATCTTGTCTCATTAAAGACTGCCTTTAATTACCATCGGAGGCAACTAGGAAGATATGAATCATCTTCCCTTCCCCGCCTCAAATCCACAGAAGGAATCTGGTCCATGTTCCGTAGCATGCGGGAGCTTGAAAACCACCAAAACGTGTCACAGCCGTTCCGCTGCCCAGACGCTGAGACAAACTGTCGGGGCGTTCGCTCCCCGACAGGTACGATCTACGTTCAGCAAAAGTCGAGCTGCATCTCCCGTCTTCACGGACCTTGGCACGACCGCAGGTCGTTGCCTCGGTCACGGGAGTACAGCCCACAGCCACATCCACCCACGCTCAACAGTTCACCCCAATTATCACCCTTCTTTTACCGTAACTCTTCCCGAGCCTGCTAAAGTCAGCTCTAAGAGATACTCTTCATTGGAAGCTAAAAAAAAAAAGAAATAGGGAAGTTTAGACTGTAGCCTGTTACACCACAAAACAAGCTCGTTTCATAAAAATAAGCTCATAGGCATGTGACCAGCTCAGCAGCTCCGGCTGCAGACAGATGCTGACAAGGAACATGCAAAAAACCACCCTCCCCACACCGAGGAGGAGGAGGAGGAGGACTGGATTCATGGAGATAGGCTCAAAGCTGTCCCACCTGCAGCAGCACAGGCTCCAGCAGCACACTGGGACCGCCAGTGATGGCTGCAGGGCTCCATTTCTGCTCTGACCACCCCTTTTGGATCACAAGTGATACTGAAGAGCATCATTCTGCACAATAAGCAACACACTAAAATTCATCTGATACTACCCAAATTTGTTCACAGCTGTCTACCAGTGAAACTCAGAGAGAGGACACCCAGTATGACCATTTACTTGTATTCATCTACTTCAATTTACTGAATCCCTGAGTAAGAGTGGAAAGTTTCCTGTTGAACCAGGAAAAAAATCAGCACCACACAGAAGTAAGGCATTGCCAACGCTCCCTTTGGATCTCTCCTGTGCCCGTAGCCACCCTGGCAACTTTCAGCCATTCTACCCTGAACGTAAAGGCTCGACCAAATCCATATTAAACCTCGAGCACCAGTTAGCAGCAATGAGTTTTGATCTTCTATTACCTGTGCACATATCTGAGTCAAGAGACACACGTTGCTAAAGCATTAAACACACAAACTCATTAAATGAACCACTGCTATAATCAATGACAATTAATAGATGAGGTCAGCTGCACCAGTCACTCGACAAACAGGCAGCATGCTGCTCACTGGAAGTGCCAACCGCTTTACGCGCCCATCTAGTCCATCCCCGGGTCCCAGGGCAGGACCAGTTCCACACGAAGCAC